AGGGTTGCATTTTAGGCTCCGCCCCCGACTCCGCCCACTTTTCCCCGATTTTTTCCTCGGAATTTGCGGGGTCTCACGGACAGCGAACAACGGGCGGAAGTTTTTTCAGTGGAGAACGGAAAACATTTTAAAGATCAATATTACCGAGAAAATGAAAAAAAAATGCAAATTAGTGTTAGAAAAGAGATCATCCCGAATTGTTAAATGTTTCAGCGAGCATAAATTAATATTTAAAACTTCAATTCTTATAGTGAATGACCGGCAATGAAACGTTTCTACTGAAAACGGTGATGGTCGAATTTTTTAGTAGATGAAGCATCACATGAATTGAGAGACCTTCTAGAAAAAAAATCAATAATGAAGCAATTTTTGACATTTTCAGTATCAATCGTACAGAACTGATGACAAAACCGAAACAAACATTTAACAAATACGAAAAAAAAGCAATATATACTATAGAAATATTGCAATTAATATTATTTTGTTTTTTAGCATGAGTAGAATCTTTGAGTTCAGTAACCTTCATGTGAAGGCGCATAATAACTTGATTGTAAAGGCACCGAAACGATTAGGCGACATTATCCTTCTAGGACCAGAAGCTCGTGTGCGTCCAAACCGCAACAAACGAAAGTTTCGCAGCCGTTGTTCGTGTCAAGGCTCCGCCCCAAAATCCGATACTGTATTAAATAAACGAAATTGATTTCTGTGAATTTAGTGGGATTTTCTGAACAAAGTTTAGATTTCTTGGTAAAAATATGATGTTTAACAACTCTGAAATCTGTTTGTCACCGAAAAATCGATCTTGATTGTGGAAGTGGCTCGAACGAGGCGATTTTGCCGCACCGGCTTGTAAATTCTCAGATGCCAGTTTTTTTTAAAGTTTTGACAATACGAGGTTCCATCAAAGATCTGAATATTCCAAGCCGCTGGAACAGTCTCTGAAATGTATGTTCACTAGGTTGTGTATTCAAAAAAACTTAAATTCGTTCGAGATCCGTCCATTCGTAAAAACTTGAATATATGGAAATCGTGTTCCCGAGTTCCTTCCGCATTTCACTTCTGTTTCCTCATGCATTTTCGAGATGTGTTTTGACGGATTGACATGAACAAAACCGACAAAGAATCTTGTCAGAAGAAATGTTCCTTTTGTTTTATTTCTCTTTGCAATACATCACAACTTTTCTTCTGGGGAAAGTTCCTTCATAATCTGTAGCAAAATCGTCATTCTGCACAGCTGATAAGTATATGCCCCCGTGGGGTCTGATGATGTTCTAGGACCAAGTAGGCGTTCTGCTACACGAAACGTCATCCGCCAAAAAATTATGATTTGTTTAGGAAGTGATTTATCATAGTCGGAAAACGGAACAAATCGGTAAGTGGCCTATTTCAGTATACGCGTAATTAGTTGAAAACCTCCAAACAAGTCGGGAAACCGTACTTGGTTTCAAGCCAACGGGTCAAAAAACGCGCCCCAAAATATTTTTTAGGCCAGAAGAAATATAATAACTTCCAAGTTGACGTGGGTTTGACCTAATTAGTTTTAATCAACGAGTTGCAACGCGTGATTTTTTCGTGCAACGTTTAAAAGTTTGATCCTCAGCCACATAATTCAACAGCGAATTTTTAAAATCTCACGTTTACTGGGGCGCGATTTCTGACCCATTGGCTTCAACCCAAGTAAAACCGAATTTATCTGGATCTGAAGTGTCACGATTAACCTATTTCAAGAAAGCATATCTTCGAGTTCCGCAGATAACTCTCTACAGACACCTCAAATTCTTATCCTATTGAACTTTTCGTCGCCTTCTCCTTATTCTTCTTGTCCTTCTTCTCCATCGTTTTCCCTTCAAATCTCATCCTCGGCGGCCAATTGGGAGAGCCGCCGAAAAAGAAGAAGAAGAAGCACAAAAAAACGAAGAAAGGAGATGCCGATGTGTCCAAACATTTAAACGACGGCTTCTTCTTCTTCATTTTCTTCTTCTTTTTTTGTGCTTTCTTCTACATTTTTTTCTTTTTTCATCCCCTTTTTCTTTTAGTTTTCATACATTTTGATCATCTTCTTCTCCGTTTTTTCTGTAAGTTTCCATGTTGCATTTGTTTCTGCGATTATCTCTTTATGGCCGTATTCTCTTCTCGCTTTGAATTTCAAAGCTTAAACTTTGCACTTTTGTCTTCTTTCGATTTGCCTCGTTTTGAAAGTTTCTCTTCCTAAAAATACAAAGAAGAACAACTGAATGATTCAAGACTTTTTAGCATTCATCTTCCTTGTGTTTTTCAACGTCATCATGTCTGCAATAAAACCGTAGGCCATGACCTGGCATATGAAAATGATGAACTTCTTCTCCTCCTCCTTCTACCACTTCATGAATTATTTTCAGTAAAATAACTTTAATATTTGTCTCTCGACGTCTTCATCGACGCCTTCTCGACGGCAGAAGGAGAGAAGAAGAACGTCAAGAAATTCATAATGTTTGAAGATAGATGTGTGTTGGTAGTAGAACTTTTTAATTTCCAGTTGATGTTTGAAACTTCTCTAAAGCTTATCTCTCAAAAGTACTTTTTTTTAATTTTTCAAAATTTATACCAGAGATTTCCGGATGGACTTTTTCTGGAAACGGAATCCGGGATGAAATTAACTTATCAGAATTCGAAATACTCCAGGAACAAAAACTAAGCGTGAAATCCGGAAAATCGGAATAATTCGGAAACAACTTTTATTTTTGGAATAAACCATTCGGAATCCGGAATATGGAATCCAGACAACGCAGTAATATACATACCTCCACATACCGTGAAACCTGTAATAGAAGGTCCCATTCACTTTTAACTTTTAGTCCTAATATCTTGGTTCCTGTGAAAGATATAAAAATTGCCAACTGATAAATTGTTTCTTAACCCATCAGAAGTATTTTGTCAGTTGACAAATTTTTGATATCTAACTTAGCAGCTGAGAAATATTAGCTCAAACTTGACAGTGGGGCGTTTCTCAACAATTTATCAAAATCGTAAAATCATTTTTTCTCCTAAATATCGAAGCATTTATTGATCCACTTCCGACGAATTCAGGTCAATAGTGTCAAAATTTCTATCTGAATATAATTAAATAAGGCTCAGAATTTAGAAAAAATAGAAACAAAAGTCCCGATTTTCTCACCGTAAAACCTGTAATAGAATGGCCCCTACACTGTCAAGTTTGTTCTAAATTATATCAATTTCTGTGCAAGATATCTAATGTGTGTCAACTGAGAAAACACTTCTGATATTATGATAAACAATTTATCATTTGACAACTTTCATATATATTTGGTAGGAACCGACAAAAAGATGGCAATTTTATTACAGGTTTGGCGATATTTTAGTTTTTTCAGAAGTTAATTTTCGGAGAAAGCGTTCTTAAATTTTCGATTATCATGAATGTCTCTTCTCCATTTCAAATCCATCCTCCAATAAGTGTGAAATGTCATTTCCGATTTCCATTTTTTTCTCCATATTCTGGAAGCTTTTCCTTCTTCCATTTGGGCCCCCCTCCTGTGAAAAACTCTCTCTTGGCTCTCTTTTCTTATTTATGAATTCCCCCAGTTTTTAGTATTTCCTTCCTCGTTCTATATTTCATTTCGATGGTGGTCTGGTGGTCCATGCTTAAATGAAATGTGTATGCGTATGTGTCAGAATGATGCCAAAGTGTTTTGATGTCGATGGAAAACATTCGATTTTGAACCATTTTGGTTTTAAGCCTAAACAACTGAATTGAGTAAGAAAACCCACGCTGGAAAACGGACGAAAATTACGAATAAATATGAGAAAATAAGACTATTTTCATTCTGGTACAAAAAAAAATGTGGAAAAGAAAACCGATTGCAGCGAGCGAAAGTCCGAAAACGACAACTACAGTAACCTAAAAATATTTTTTTTTCTCGGGATTTATTTTTCGATTTTTGTGCGTTTTCAGCCAACTTTTTCACTATCAGAAACTCGTATTTTCCGACCGTTCGGGGGTACAAACTACTTAAAATTTTTGAATTCGGTAAACCGAATTTGGAGTTTTGTACCCTAAATGACTTTGTACCCCCTTATACTCCCGAGGCGTTGTACCCTAAGAATTATATGCCAAAAATCAGTTTAATGCGAGAAAATTAATCCTGAAAAATTTTAGGTTACTGTAGTTGTCGTTGTGGGATTTTCGGAACCGGCCACCGGCGTTTCTCTTCCACAACTCCAATTTTTTTAAACCAGCATAATACCGGGTTACGGTATATTCTGTTCAAAGACATGCGAGCGTGTCCCTCAGCGTTTTTCTTCCATATTTCCCTGGTGTTTCTTTTCGTCTACCGGTTTTTTCAAAGATTCTATTTGTTGCAAGATTCGATTTCAGAATTTCAGGATATTAGTTCAAAGATTTTGAAGCCTATACTACCTGCATGTTTTTATTCATTGAAAAAAGAGGAAAGTCTTAAAATTTAATTTCAGTTCTCATTATCTGAAATCTTCAAAAACACATCAAAGTGAGCCATATGACATTTATCTCCCCTTGATTTTTCGTTCTATACACATCCATATTTCCTCACTCTTTTATTTTGCATCTTCCTTCTTTCAATCCTTCTCTTCCCAAAAAAAAAAAAACAGAACAATAAATCTCGATCGGCCCACAAAATTACATGGTTCCTTTCAACCCACACATTTTCTCTTTTTTTTTCTGCCTATTTTCATTATTTATTTTTCGTATATGTTTTCTTGTCACCAAAAAAATTTACGACACCGAAACCCAACTGGCTCTATTATATAATTTGCAATCATAAAAATTCTAATCAATAGTTTTTTTCTCTCCTTTCCTCCGTTTCATGGATAAATTGAGAATTTCACTGTGTAATACAACATGTAGAAAATCAAATTTTTTGAAAAAAAGGATTTTGAAGAAGAGAAGAAAGAGAAAAGAGACGTAGTTTGGTTTCTTATTTCGCTGTGCTTTGAATGATGGATTCCCACGGGAAACAAAGAAACAAAAGAAACATAAAAAAGTGGAAGACAAGTGATGAAAGATAAGAAGAACTGCATGTTTCATCTGGTTGTCTGGGGTTGAGAGCATGAGAAAATGAGGGGAAGAGTTATGAAGATTTATCACTACTGAGAGCTCCTCGTGTTTAACTATCAAGAAATATTTGGTCAAACGGAATTCTATAGAAAAAACCATTTAAAGGTGGGGGGACAGGAGATGTTACGGGGGATTTTTGGGGCTCGGCTTTATGTATGCAGTCGGGCGACCGCTTTCTCTTTGCCCGTGTAGCTCAGTCGGTAGCGGCGCCGCACCCTCAATCCTCGTCCCACACGTTCAACTCCTCGAGAGGCATATTTAAACGAAATTTCGAGAACATTATTTTTTCCATGTCCCCCCACCTTTAAAATATTGAAAGATATTAATGTGGAATCAATTGGTTACCTAGAAAACATAAATTCCGGATTTCCAGGCCATATATATCCAAAAATGAACAGAAAATCATGACAATGGAGTAGTGTTCCAGAAATTCAAACGTTTTGATTTCTAGGCCACCGGTCTTTAGATAGCCTAGAAATGCTTTTTCTAACCAATCCAGTGGCCGAGATACCCAAATGACTTCCAATCAACACAGTTCTCTGCTCGAAACTATTTTCACACAGTCCAGACATATGAAAGTCCTATATTATATTATTGATCTTTTCAAGCAATTTGATGTACGGTAGTTTTAATGTATATCGAATCGTAGTAATAACAAATGTTTGCCAAGGAAATCAGGATTTCTCAGACTTGAAACAAAGTGCAGTACTAGAAATTAAAAATCCCTCGCTTTCTAGTCCACCGGCCTTTTAGATTGCCGTTGAACAATTCTAAGTTTAGGCCATCTAATGGCTGCAAATGTCAATTGGGGAGTGTCCTAAAAACTCAATTAATTCCTCCAAACCAATCCCGCATACAATAAATTCCACCTCCACTACCTCGGCTCCTGTTAGATGTACCAATGAAATCTTCTGTTTTCCATAATTTCAAACATTTCACAAATTTAGCTTTTAAGCTTTCCAGATCTATTAATTTCAGATTGGTCGAATACTGGGATCTCAGGAATTAAGATCCAACTATTTGAAACAGAGTTTTCAAATTCCTAAGAACTTTTTTGTGATAACTCAATTTTTAGAGATCTTAGACAAACTTGTTAGACACCTAGGAGACACCGCGGTGGAACGAACTCGTAATTATTCGATTCAAAATATTGTAATTCGTTGGAGAATGGTTTAGGAACATAGGAATTGTAGGTTTAAGAGGATGCCGATAATCTACAAGAGAAAATTTGCTTAGCAAGAAATATGATGGTTCCTAACATCTACAGTACTTTGCATTTCTCGTTACATCAGTTACTGATCCACGGGTTTCAGGATCTTTCCGTTTTTTAAACAATCTAAAATTTTCAAAGAATAAGATACCCCAGTTTTCAAAGTTCGAAAGGAGTACTCATCCCGCTATTCTTTGAATTATTCCATAAATAAATTGTAATCAAATTACATGATCTTCCCTAAGTTTCCCTGGACGAATGATGAATCTTCTTCTCCTTTTTCGATTCCCACACCCCATTCAGTCTCATATCTTCATCCGGAATCTTCCTCTCAAAATCTATATTTCCATCGGGTTTTTTTTCTTCCAAACCAAAAAGTTTTCTTCTTTTTTTCTTCTTACCCAGAAATACGAACACCCGAAACCCGTATTAGTTTGTTGTCATTTTTCATTCTGCTTCTCTTTTTCTTCTCCTCCCATTTTTCGTCTTCTTCCCCTTCGGATTCTTCTCTGCTGTGAAACAAGCTCCGCCCACTTCTTTTTTCTTTCTTGTGCTCCTCCTCGGGAGCCTCCCGGCCAACAAAACGGAAACCGGACCAGTTGAATTGAATTGTGTATGGAGGCTCAATGTGTGTCAAAAAGCCGAGGAGCAAAGGCTTTTTCGCCGACAGCTCATCTCATTTTAGATGACAGAAACATCACAAGCTCCTCCCCTTTTTCTTCATTTTTTTTATTCTCGGAGACTCTTCCTTATCTTGAAAAGACAAAAACAAAACAAAACAAGCATCCCCTCCTTTTCCGTCATTAAATTGACGAGAGGAACCCATTTTGAAAAGTTGTTTTGGGGGACCGTAAACTGGGTGTGAAGAAAAGTTGCTCTGTAGAAAAAAAGTAAACAATCGGATTCAGAAATTTTTTTAGGAAATGTTTTTTTGCAAATAAACATATAATTGAATGAGGTTTTACAATTTGAATATTCGGTTCAGAGGAATTACAGAACTGTTCCATGTTTTTCTCGGTTTCAGTTGATAACTTAAGCTAAAACTAACACTGATCGATCAGAAATGGTTATGAAATTATGCTTGTATTTCTCTCCAGCCCTGAATATTGTCTGTAATAACAAAGCCTGTAATAGAAGGGCTCTCCTTGCTTTATACTTTGAGCCCCTTTTTCTCGATTCCTGTCAAAGATATGAATAAGTTGTCAACAGATAAATTTTTTATCTTAAAATTAAAAATATTTTATCAGTTGACACATTTTTGATATCTCTTATAGGAGCCCAGATGATTGAGCTCAAATATGACAGTGTGAAGGCTCTTCTATTAAAGGTTTTACAGTAATCCTTTTTTGAGCTGGCAATGTAAAAGTGTCAAAGGATATATTTTCTACAAGGGAGTATTTCAGAACTATAGTGATCAATAAAGTAGTAGTAATGTTTTAGACGGACTTAAAGATTTTCTTCGACATGAAAATTATTATTTTCTTTTTTTGAAATCTCGAAGTTTGCAGTTTCAAACAATCATGCAAATACCAATCACCGACCATTTTCTTTCTTCTTTGGAACTTTTTCTCCTCTCATCTTTTCTGTTAAATAAGAAATCAAAAAGCAATTGTTGTGTCTTCTATAATTCAGTTGAGTTTTGATCTTTTCCATTACTCTCCCTTCTTTTTTTCCCATATTTTCTATTTTCAGCTAATTGGAAAAAAGTGCATCATTCCCCCTCTCATCATCATCATTATTTTGTAACTCAATAAGTCGTTTTATTTGTTCTTTATTTTATTCTTCCATTTTTTCTTCAAAAATCTAGAAGAGAAGAAGATTCGATTCCCAAAAGGGACCAAACCAAACAAAACCAAAAACGCCCACCATGCTTCTCGTTTGTTTTTTAAAATTCAAAAGTCTTCCTTCAAGATTATGACTTGCTGGAGAAAAAAAAGAAGTAGAAGAAGTTTTGAGACTCCACGGAAGAGCTTAGAAACCATGACATAGAATTAACGAAGAGTGATGGTTTCAAAAAAGAAAGTAGTTTCAAGAAGTGGATGAGGTAGAGAGATTAGAAGACGTGACACCAAACGATTGTTTCGAGTACTCTTCTAGAATATTTTTAAGTAGGTGAAAAAACAGTTGAGAAGAGGATTAGTTTTAGAGCTGTTTTTTCGAAGTTTGGAAATCACAGCGCTTCAGGAAAACATCTCTAAAAATGTATGAATTCTTCTTTTCGCAGGGACAAATAGCCTAGACAACCAAAACTAAACTCTCTAGGCCCCATTTTATATTATTAAATCAGGATTTTTCTGCTAGTTCCGAAACTTTTCTTAAATCTCTAAAATACCTGTTTTGAAGCAAATTACAGTAATTTCTAATTTATGGCCTAGAAACCCAAAACTAGGCCACTGGTCGCAAAACTTCAAAAGGTTACAACTTGGCACGAAACTGATGGTTTTGAGTTTTAAAAAAAGGAATCCCAACTATCAAAACAAACCAAACCTTTAAATGTTCATCGTGGCCTAGTTTTTCCAAAATTATCAGTACATAAACGGGCACAAATGGATGTCTTTCGGAAATCATCAGAGAGCAGAAGAACTGAGAGTTTTCAAAAAACTACGTTAATGCAAATTTTTCAATGTAGATCTGTTTTACACCTTCCAAAATTTTCAAACTGATCCATAACCGACTCCAGACTCCTGAAAACGGTCAAAACCAACTGAAAAATACGTTTTTGTATATTTTATGAACCGGTACTGCTTTTATTTCGAAAGGATATTTTTTTGGGATAGATTCCAAAGTTTAATACAGACAAATCCCTTTGGATGGTTTCCAACTGTTTTCCAACATTGTGCATCCGGTTAAAGAACTTTACCAGGTTACTGTAATCGATTATCGCAAATTGTATTATGAAGACCGAATAAAATATGACAGCTACCAATACCCAATGTTCTCTTATATATATTTTTTTCCCGGGCCAAAATCTCCAATTTTCCGTCATTTTAGTATCCCTGCCTTTTATGTCAAATCCAGAATTCATTTCGTCCTTTTCGTTCCTCTAAAAACTTAATATCACCCCAAACAACAAGTAATGGTTCTCACATAAAATCCTATAGGATCACATTCGATAACCCTTTTCTCTTGATTTTCGCCAATTTCCTCTTCCACCACCACGCGACAATTTTGAGTGACAGTCTTGTTGTTGTTGGTATCTGCCCAATTAGACATAAAAATGCTCAATTGAGCATCCATTCAGTGTCTTGTATTCCTTCTTCTCCCGCCCTGTTTCATGTCGTCCCTTTTCCTTTTTTTCCATTCCCAATTCAATCAAGTACTCTTTTGTTTTTGCCACCGTCCCGCCCGTCCATTTTTTCGTTGCTCCTTTTCTCTTTCCTCTCCATTTTAGTCACTTCCTTTTCTTTTCTAAAACTCGATTTCAACTCGAAGACCTCACTCAACTTTTCGATTATTTGTTGTTTTTTGTCGGAAATTGACTTTCGCGTTCCATTTTCTTTCAGACAAGACTACGGTATGTTTCATTCGAGACATCATGTCATCTTCTTCTTCTTTTGTCTTTGTTTTTTTCTCAGCTTTTCTTATACGACCAATTTCAGAAGAAAAGAGTGTAGAGTTTTGCACTTTTTTATAACTATAAACAACAAAAAAATGGGCTATTTCGAATTTGAATTTGTTTTAATTATGGGTCATTGAAAGAAGGGACAGTCTTGAATTAAAGAAATAAAAATGATTAGCATCAAGCAAATCTGATGGAATGGTGCAAATAGGTTTTCGATTTCTAATGAAGTGGAGAGTGGAGAGGTGACCATGGAACCGCAGTTTTGGGATGCCCAGTGTGTTCTTCTAATCTGTACATCTCCAAAAATATCAGGGGATCCATGATGACGAAGGTGGAAACAAAATCTATGACTTCATACCGGAGCTTAATCAGGACATCATTGATGCCTGGCTGCTGGTGGAGCTGAAACTCCTGGAAACCCGTCTGAATGTCTATGGATTCTCGAACTTTTGATGTGATAGGCAATAATGATCGCCTCATCAAATTTTGGGTCGGATAAACTTTTTTTCTGAAAAACGGTTCCTTGTTTTTTTTTCGAAAGTCTTACTACCTGGCGCATTATTTTGTGGAAAAATTTTCTTCGATTTTTCGATAAAATTGACATATCTTTTTTTCCGGATTTCTTTCCGGAATTTTCAGATGATACTGTCGGAAATGTTACGTATTTTTCTAAAAAAGTCTAAATTTCAGTCATGACCGGTTTTCGAGTTTTTCGAAATTTGGAGGGGTGGCGTATCATTATGTGGAGCACTGTAGTTACAAAATTACTGATGTGGTAAGTCTATTGAATTTCAGTGAAAATTACCAAGTACCAAAAGTAGCTTTTTGCAATAGCCCACGAAATCAGTAAGAAGCTACAGTATCCTCTGAAAATCAATATACCGTATTACCTCTAATATAAGTCTATGCAAACTGTCAAATTCGAGCTGAAATATCTCGATTTCTGTAAAAGATATCAAATTTTTGTCAAGTGATATAATATTGGTGATGTTATGATAAATAATTGGTCAGTTGGCAAAGTTTTAAAACAAAATAGTTGATCTCAAAGATGGCTTCTAAAAGAGAAATGCGGTATTCGGAAATTAGAATAGTCTCAGATGAAATTGTATCAATTAGTTTGAGCTCAAAACATCCTACTTCTTTTCCGAATAGAACCCTATCACACACCATAATATATCTTGAAAATATCTGAAACGACAATTTTCATTTATGAAAGACATATGGCATTAAAAGAAAATGTGTCACATCCTGCGAATTTCGGGAGTACGGTAGGTCAGTTGAGTCATAAGAAGACTGGCATGGAGGTCCTGGAAGATGCTTTTTCGATGCAATATTCTGATTTTTGGTCTACCTTTTGATAGATTAGTTTACCTAATACGATAATTAGGCCGTTATTTGGGCAGGCTCACATTCCGCGGGTCTCTTAAAATACCCTTCAAGGCAGCGTTTATAACTAATGATTTATGTTTTTTGAAAAATCGTTCGCGAAATATTTTTAGCATGCCTTTTTCAGAAAAAAAGCATGTCTTGTTAAATTGACCGACTTGGTGAAGCTCCTAAATATTCTAATATTTGGTTTTTTGAATTTCTTAGTTTCACTAAACCTTTTAGAATATTCTATACCTAACCTTTTCCTATCATCCTGACTTTGAACGCATTTTCCTTCTGATCTATTTTGGATTATAGTCTGATAATCGAACCATTGAGATTTTTCAAATTCTCAAAATCTACCACTAGACCATGACTCTAGAAGCCCACGCAATTTGATCAATGCAATCTACATGTACTCATAACCTTTTTCTTCCAATTTAGTCATCCTTGTACTAATCAACCCAGACTTTTTTATTTCCTCCTTCTCCTTCTTTTTTCTTCCTTCTTCTGATTCTTTGTCTTTTATCCTAACCCCCCCCCCCCACAACTTCCCCTCAAAAATGCCATCATAATTCTTTCTGCTCGTCTGCTCGCATAATCGATTTGAAGGTTGCTTTGGGTCTGCGAATGGACGAGCTATCCCCAAAAAACCCTCCCATTTTTCGTTCTTTTCAAGTATTGTTGACGTACCTCTTGTGCTCCAAAACGATTACCTGGGAAGCTTTGGGCTTCTCACAAAAAGGCTCCGCCCACTTTTCGGCCCTCTACTTTTTTCTCTTTTTGTGAGAATGTTCCGCTCGAGTAGTCGTTGTCAACTTGAAAAAGAAGAAAAGAGCACAACTTCTTCTTGCTTCTTCTTCCATACTTTTTCTTCACTTCTAATCCTAGTTATGTTTTTGTTTCCTTCAATTCCCATTCTTCCACCTTCTTCTTCTTCTTCTTTTCCTCTGAAATGTCTTCTAAACTGATTGACGTTCAAAAAGAATCGTGGGAAAGGCGTGGGGTCTGATTGTGTGTTTGGTGAAGATTAGATGAGCAAAGAAGGAGGAAGTGATCACAAACCTAGAAGAATCAAACAAGGGAAAATAGCTTTAGCATCTTGGAACCTTTAGCTGGATTCAAATGATACTGACATCTCACAGACTTGATCCTAGTTGATTTTGTTCTTGGGAAAATCCACCAACATATTTTTAGAATCGAGACTTTTCTTTCGTACACCTGCACCTTCCCACACAACTTCTTGTCTATGTACATCTGAAAGAATAAGTCAGCAACCATTTTTTCGAAATGAATTACAAAAACAAAATCTGATATCCGTGGGTTCTTCAAAAGTTTCCCAAAGTTGAGTGCTTTTGTATCTGATCTTCAACCTGAAACTTTGACCCTTGAAAGTTTTTTTTTCCGGTTCATTGTCATTTCTATATTCATTCAGATTAGGATTATCTTGTTCGTCATCCAGAACGAATCTTCTTACGTAGTTAAGGAGAAGGGTTTCAGTTCAATTGTTTTCGAATTCTGATGTTTCGAGAACACATTATTGCAAGATAAATTTTTATTATATTTGTTTATTAGAGAACATACTAGCCAAGGCAGATGGATGAAACAAGTAGATTTCAAAGTACTGTGAATCGAAATTTAGAAATTCTTTTCAAATAACCAGGTGCTTCGGAAGTAGTGTTTTTAATGAGTGATTAATGTGCAAGGATGAAGAGTTTTTGACGCTTCTTGAAGTTTACTCCGGAAATTGATGCAGCATCATTGGCTCGGTTTGTTTAGGTGAAGAACAAGAACGCGTATATTCGTGTTTTATGGTTTCTGTCTGACATAATAGCCAATATTCATTTTATCTGGAAATCCGAGTGTTTGAAAAACATTATGGGATTTTAAAGTTTTGCCTGATAGTGAAAACGTTTGGATTCGCTTGGTTTAGTCATTTTTTCTTAACAATATATAGTTGGTGTGGAAATGTACTGGCAACCTGTCGAGAATTAGATATGGACAAAAATTTCAATCACATTGTTTAGTACATTATCTTATCACTTGTCAGCCATTTATATGACTTAAATATGAAAAAAAAACTGACTTATATGGCTTCTATGGTCCAGGATCCAAGGGTACATCAAAAAAAACGAACATCCAGAGTGCATCGAGTGTTTACATTACTTGAGAATGTATATAGTAGGTACATAAGGGTCTAGGAAGTTTTAGCCTATAATTAGGTTATTTATAATTTTGAGTAAAAAGCGAAACATTTTGTAAAAATAGTTTTTTTTTCATCCTCCCGTACCACAAAATTCCATGTACCCTTGTAACCGATGTACCCTCAAAACTAGATGTACCCTTGGATGGATTTCCCGATCAGGTATAGAAATAGAGGCTCTAGGAATCTTCTCTTATTAATCGTCCCCTCTGTTTTGAGATTCCCCCGAAAAAAACAGTAGTTTGCTCATTATTCAGATCTTTGTTATTCACCAAAAACTACTCTGAGACCTAAGCTTCTGTCTTTCTCTTCCTAAGTCCTTTACGGTCTTCGTAATCCCTCTTCGGAAAATCCGTGCACCCATAGTCAGTCGTCTTCTTCTCCTTGTTTACCCACTCATTTTTCCATCAATTTCTTTCTTCTTCTTCAGCAGCATCACCAATCGTCGTCTTCTTTTTCTGTTTCTCCAGAATCTGTATTGGTTGGTGGGGCGGCACGTCATAATCCAGTCTCAAGTATCAGCTTACGAGTGCATTCCTTCTTTATTTGTCCTTCTTCTGGAAAGGGGCTCCCACAGATTCTATTTTTCTTTTTTTTGAAAGAAAAAGAAAAAACGCTTTTCCTTTTGCCCATTTTTTTTTCAAATCCTGCGGGCGGAACTTCCATTAAATGTTGTGCAATTTTCACTTTTTCCCCTCCCTTTTCCTCCAATTTTCTTTCATTTTTCCGGTTTTATTCTTAAAAAGGAGTCAAAAAGCTTTCCATTTTTATCAATCATTTTCCTTTTATTACTCCCTTTTTCTGTTCAAAAAAGATAATCTCTCTTCTCAAAAAAAAGGAGCTTATTCGTTCGAAAATGGCTCCTCCCTCCGTCTGATATCAGTTCTCCACATCATTTCGGTTTGCCGAAAAAAAGTGTTGGAAGAAAAAGAAGAGATCATCCGAGAAGATTTTCACTTCTTTGAAAAAAGTGTTTGGAAAAAAAAACTTTAAGATTTATTCATAGAGATATTTGTCATTTTCTTTTGAGCGCTATTTTATAAGCTGTGATCGTTTAGACAGTTTTTTCTTTTGAAGTTTCGATGCTGTCAACTTTGGACGTTCTCTGGAGCCACAGAGTTCGATCCACTGCGGCATGCGGATGCGCTCTAATGAGAAGGGGCGTGTCAACGTTTTAGGCCGACAGAGAGCAATTCTAAATACCCTAGCAGTTCGAACCCTATTTGAAGACAAAATAACTGGCAGAGATTATTGCAAACTATTTAAAAATGTTTTGTAGCTATTCTGAAAATATCTGTAACTGTCCAAAGTGGTATTTTTTCTAGATCACTTATTAACATTTTTTGAAACTTCAAAACGTTTTCGTACATTTGCAAAATTGCAAAATTAGCTATCACAATTTTCCAGCAAAAAATCTGCTGAAATCGAATGATGTTATATGTATTTTGCTCTCCCCATCACACCCCATATTTTTATTTTTATGTTACTAATCGGTAGATGTTGATCTGGTAAAACTCCTTCTTTTTTTCTCATTTCCGAATCTCTAATTTCCGAATGAATCATATTTTTTGGGGAGAATAAACGAGAGAAAAAATATATCAATAAAACATGAATATCATCAATAATCCTTCAAAAAAGCTCAGAAGAAGACGTTCGTGTTAATTTTTGTTTCAAACTTTGGTTTTTGGAAAACAAGTATCTCTATTCAAGTTTTCTCCTCCTTTATTTTCGAAACCAAAGTTTTCAGCCTCAAAAATACTAAATTTTTCATTGTCGTTTCTTCATTTTTTCTCCGTTTTTTCCTATGTCCGCCCATTGTCACTTTTTTCTTGTTGTTTTTTGGAACTATAATTCTATTGCATTTTTTAAAAATTTTATTTATTAAAAATAGAAAACTCTTCAGAATGCGAGTCGGTTCAACCGTCCGAAGTCGTACCAAGGCGAGGGTCGTTCGCCGACTGATTCTGATTCCTGTGGCTATGGTAGCTCTGTTGGGCGCAGCAAGTATGATGAGGGATCGAAGGAGTCCAGAGAGAGATCCAGAAATGATTATGCCGGGAATGACGCCTGGAAATGTGTCAAAACCTTTTTGGAAAGCGTTCATACCAACTTGTAACAGGTGAGTATCAGATAAAATTTTGGGAGAACTATGTAGTAAAGTAGTGGAGGGGGAGACCCAAATTTTTCGAATATGACGCCAAAATGCGGGTGTCCCATTAAAATGGAAACAAGGCGTTTTAGCCAAAGCCTATAAATTCAAAAGCATAATTTAAAAAAATTTTAGAAAAAATAAATGGGAAGTTTTGCTGATTTTCGCTAATTTCAGTACTATTTTAACTGGATTGTTTTTCAAAATTTTCAACATAGTTTCTCTTCAATTAGGAAATCCGAATAATGGCGCTGAACTCAAAAAATTTGGTAGCTATCGTGCGCCCGGTCTAGCTTCTCCCGCGTGGCTCAGTCCGTAGCGGCGCCGCACTTTCAATGCCCGTCCCACAAGTTCAACTCATCGAGAGGCCTATATGAACAAAATTTTGAGACAGTAATTTTTCATGTCCCCTCACCTTTGAACTTTGTTCTCTTCTATTGTTCACTCAAGTCTAGATTTCAAACTACAAAAAGTACTTTCTCAATTTTCTCCCTTCCCACAGTCAATCCTCTCAAAAAACGTTTTTTTCTCTTTCTTAAATTTCTTCCGGTTTGTTCTCGTCAACTACTTTTCTCTTAAAAACTCGTGGGTACTTTTTTCCTTCACAACTTGAGTAGGATAAAAACCGGAAGTAGTTCAAGCCTCTTTTTGTAAGAACCCCAACGGATTTTCGTAGTTTTTCACAAGAGGAGCGGAGATCACGGATTCTGAGAAAGTTCTGAAAAAATGTCAAGTAAAAAGGGCCCGGAAATATCTGAAGGTATCTGAATCCTATAATTTTCAGGACACTCACCCCACCAGCTCCAGAAGTCAATGATGATGGACAGTTCCCACCAGATCCATTTTCTCTGGAACAGCGGCAAAATGGATTTGGTTAGTTTTCCTTAAAATTTCTTATCACAAAACGATCAGATATACATTTTAGTGATTCTCCATATGTGCGGTTTGATCTACATGTTCGTTTCCCTTGCAATCGTCTGTGACGAGTTCTTCGTTCCTTCTCTAGATGTTCTTACCGAGAAACTTCAGTTATCTGATGACGTGGCAGGTGCCACATTCATGGCAGCCGGAGGATCCGCTCCTGAATTTTTTACATCGGTCATTGGAGTGTTCATTGCTCAGAATAATGTTGGAATCGGAACTATCGTTGGTGAGTGGATCTATAAAGGATAGAAAAGAAAAAAAAACCGAATTCCAGGATCTGCTACATTCAACATTCTCTGCGTCTTGGCATTCTGTACTCTCTTCTCGAAAACAATTCTGGATCTTACCTGGTGGCCATTGTTCCGTGATGTTTCTATCTACATGTTGGCTCTTGCGATGCTTGTATTCTTCTTCATGGATGAAATTGTGAGTCCTTCTAAAGAGGATCCCAGTTATATTCACTGTTTCTTCTTCAGATTACCTTCCCAGAAGCTTTGGCCATGTTCACTATCTACATTCTCTACTGTACGGTTATGAAATTCAACGTTCAATTGGAAGGACTCGTCAAAGGAGGCTCCGATTCAGAGGAGGCATCAGCTCACGAGACACAGAAACTGGCAGCTGACGTCCCACACAACAATAATAATAATGATGTGGTTAGTTTTAATGAGACTCATTCAAAACAATTAGAAAGAGAGAGAGAAAAGTAAACGATGCATTTTTTTCTTCCACTAAAACTTTTTCAGACTCAACTCGAAGGGAACGACCTTCGTCGTAGATCGTCAGCCCGTCGTCAATCAGTTCCAATTCTTCATTCTGGAACAATGTTCAGAAATGGAATTATGCAATTGATGAATCACACACTGGAACAACTACCAGAAGGTAAACATATCGACGACGTTATTTAGAATTCAACGTGTCGGCTGGGGAGATGAATTTTATATTAGGCGAAGAGATTTTTGAGCAAAAAGGGTCTTTTGAGGTTTTTGGAGAGTGCTCGTTGGGCTTCTACTTGAAAGTTTTTTTTTGTTTTCTTTGGAGTGTTGGTTATAGTGGTTTTATTATTTTTGGGATGAAGGGGTAAAATAGGAAAAATACATAGAAACAAAGAAGGATCAAAAATGGGAAATAAGGGTCAAAGAATGTTTTTGGCATGATGAAACGCAACAGTGTGGGAATCTGATTGTTTGGGTTTTCGAATTTCAAATTTCAGAATTTCTAAAGTTCGAGGGTTTGGAAATTCGAAGCCTCAAAAACTCAGAATTTCAGAAGCACTGAAAATGAGAGAACAGGAAAATACAGATTCTACATAGATTCAAAAATTCAGAAAAAATTCAAAAATCTAAATTTTTCCGAAATCGTGAAATTTTAGAGTTTTCGAACTACCAATTTTCTTTGCACGAACATTTTACTTCCAAAGGGTTACTTTCCGAATTTCCAATTTTAAAAAATTCCGAAGATTCGAGTTTTTAAAATTCTGAATCTCTGAATTTTTGAATTTTCGAGTTTTCGAACTTCCGACTTTTTGAGATTCTTAATTCAGAAGTTACCTAATTTCTGTCTTTTTGGATCTCCAAAAAACCGAAAATCCAGAAATTCAGAAACGTGATATTCGGAAAGTTGAAAATCGGATGCTCAGATACCTGAAAATCCGAAAAATCAGAATTTCGGAAATTCTGAAAACTAGAAAAAACTTAAAGCTTGCCAAAACGTCCAATCTGGAAATTACCGAAATCCTGAGTTAAGAATTCCTGAAACTCCAAAAACAACTTTATAAGATTGAGCCCAGGAGGCTTATCCCTGGAGAGGTATAGACCGACTGGTTGAGATATAAAATGAGTTCAATTAACACTGATGCACTTTTTGTGATCTAAATTCATTTCTTGAATTTATAAAGATTTCTAACTCGCCATAAGCCCGTCAGCAGTAGTATTCCCTCGTTGTACATCGGAAGTCATCAAAAACAACGTACTCATTCAGATTCGGAGGAAGACGACAGCTCAAGAAGTCGGAGCAATGTAAACGTGGAGTCTCATGACATGCATCGCCTGAATGTCAATCAAAGCGTTCCGGATAGACGTTCGTCACAGATTGAAGAGATTGTAAGTGTCAATCTTCTCGCGAAACGGAGAAGATGTTGTTTATTTTTCAGAAGTCCCTTCTGGAAGAGGAAGAAGAAAAACCACTTGATATGACATGGCCGGAAACCTGGATGAAACGGTTAACCTATGTTTTGTTGGCTCCAGTGGTTGTCCCGATGTGGGTCACCATTCCAGATGTCCGAAGACCAGTGAGCCCTTTCATTCGAAAGACGTAGAGAATTTTCATGTTTCAGCACAACCGTCAATGGTATCCTGCTACATTCATCATCTCGATTCTCTGGATTGCATTCTTCTCGTATTTGATGGTTTGGTGGGCAAACACCATTGGAGAAACATTTGTGATCCCTACTGAAATTATTGGATTGACTATTTTGGCAGCTGGAACCAGTATTCCAGATTTAATAACAAGGTTAGATAGAGAGTTTTGGAAAGCTAAACAATACCAATTTCAGCGTTATCGTTGCTCGTAAAGGACTCGGAGACATGGCAGTTTCCAGTTCCGTCGGATCCAATATTTTTGATGTTTGTGTTGGTCTTCCAGTCCCTTGGCTTCTTTACTTTTTGATGGAATACATCCGTAATCCAGGAGAACCTCTTACCCCGATTTCTGTCAGTTCGAAAGGTCTTCTCTGCTCCGTTGGAATGCTTTTCATCATGCTCATCGTTCTGGTCTTTGCCATTTTCCTATCTGGATGGAAGATGAATAAGGTATGGTTGTTAAAGATTTCAGAATTCAATAAATTTGAATTTCAGATATTCGGAATTCTGATGATCGTCTCTTACATCTTCTTCTGCGTGTTTTCAGTTGGCCTAGAAACTGATAAATTGGTTTGCCCGTTAAATATTTGCGGATAGATCACAGTCTATAGTTATTTCTCATTCTTCTCATGGTCTGCTTTAACGGGTGAAACGTTTTTCAAAACAAACCTAGTGACTTTTACCACTGAATTCACACATATTTTTCTTCTCCTCGTCTTCCCATTTTTCTCTTTTCCTGTAAATATTTCACTTTCTCTTTCCCAGGCACATTTAGTTGTTAACGCATTTATTATTTGTCAACTTGTACAAATTTGTGTCATTATTCATTCAACAATAAAACTTTTTATTTTGAAGTATTTAGGCCAATGGAATATCAACTTCTTCTCCCAATTCAGATGTTTCATTTACTGTCTTCACGACTGGCTCTGTTGTTGGATTCGTGGTTTCCGAAGTTATGAAACGGGCGGCTCTTGAAGAAGAACTTCCATGTGGATTCTCCTCATCCAACTCGGCAGAATCGAACCGACGTTGGGCTTCTTCTTTGTTCAAATTCACAGATTCATGCTCTGGTTCAGCATTCCATCCTCCCGAGTTTTCGGATCTGAAATTTTTTAAACAACTTTTAATTTTTAAAAAATTTGGATCTCACTGAATAGCGCCTTCTCCTCCAGCATTGCATAATGGGGTATTACAGCAGCACAATGATATTGGAATGTTTTGGAATGTCGTTCCGATACATTTGTTTTGGGCAAACTGAAAGTAATAAATAAGTGGGACAGAGGTATTTGGGTCAACTTCTAGACTTCTAGATATTTTCGATTCTGCCAATAAGTGATTTCCGAATTTCAAGAAATGAAAATTATATTGTCTTCACAGGGTGGCGCACAACTACGCGAACTAATAAAAGCAGGTCGATACAAGTATCTTGGAAACACCGAAAATGGTAGAAACATAATTTCACATTTGATTCAAAGCTAATGAAATTTTCTAAGCTGTTTCTCAAGTTTAGGTGTGATATGATTGACCAAAGATTAGTAGCGGAATCTTTCTTGCACACATATTTCCAAGAGATGAAGCAACCTTGACAAGCGATAACTCAGCTCAAAACTGTTCAAATAATTTGAAACTTGGCCAGTTTACTAATGAATTAATTTAATTTTAACACTCCAAATTTGAGCCCAGTACAACGCTTTACTAAAATTTTATGTTAGTACAAACTTGAGTCCGGGTAATTATGCGCCACTCTGTAAGTATCACCCGATCTTATCGGAAGTGTTTTTATACCTTGTTTTCTAACAATTAAAGGTCTTATATTCTGCCCTAATCAACGAAGTTTGAAGAATTCAATAATGATCCCAAAAATCCACGCTTACCATACATCTCCACATACTACATCCAGCCTTTGTGACTTCAATCAAAGCAGCTGCTGATGCAGTCATATTATAGCAATAGGCAGCAGAATTGTCACAGTTTATAGTAGCAGTTCCAACTGATGTTCCTTTGATGAATTTGAGACCCTAACAATAACTAAATCTAGATCAAAGTTCGTGTGTTAGGAAATACCGTATGACATTGTATGGCGAAAGTTCCAGAGATGATCAGTGCAAGGGTAATAACAACAAATCGAAACATCTGAAAGTGGGAAGTGGTTGATAGGAGAATGAGGAAGAAAAAGGAAAAATATAGAAGACGTAGTCGTAAATGTTGACCTTGTTCTTTCTTCTTTGTGGGAAACAAAGAAGTGGAGAGTGTGTATGTATTGTTGAATGAAATGAAAATCAGGGTTAGTTTATTATCAAATGGATACGCAGACACACTCATATCATTTGGTAATTTGATTCCAAAGTTTATATTGTAACCCTTGTGCTAATGTAAACTTCCAGATTCTTCTCCCAATTATTTTTTTCGAAATATCATGAGTCATGATAAGTCATTGGAATAAGGATGATCTGTGGTTGGAAAGAATTGCGAAAAGATCACAAAGAATTATATTCCGATGCATTGAGAGTTCTTCTGGGTTAATTGTGTCAAGTAAGAAATCAATAAAGCCAGGAGGATAGGGTACGTGGCTCTCCGAAATCCAGGTAATCCATATTTGAAAGGTCATATATGCTGTACCCCTGCCAGCTAGTATCTGATCAGTTCTTGCTTAAATTTTCCTCTTCCTCGTAACTTGGAAAAATTGAACAATGGTCAAGGTAAGCATATAATTGGGCGTTTGAGATGCTGTATTTCCTCTAATAGAAGCCCCCCAAACCGTTAACTTTGAGCTCAATTATCTCGGTCCCTGCGGAAAATAGTAAATAATTTTCAACTAATAAAAATTGGGAATAATATGATGAAATCACAGGAATCCGGACAATTGAGCTCAAAGTTGGTGGTCTCGGTGGGCTTCTATCAAAGGAAATACGGTATCCAGACTTGGCCGGGTGGGGCCGAGTCTTTTTCCGATTTTTCAAAGCCCGGCCCGGCGTTTCTGGCGCCCGATAGCATTTTTACAAAAATGATTTAGCAGGACAAATGATTTGAAAGCATAGAAAAATTATAACAAAAAAACAAAGAAAAAATATGCAAACAGCACAGAAGTTGGCTCAAAGCAACAAAACTTTTGATACCGGGACTACCGGGTCGGGCCGACCTTGAAAACTTTTACCGTCTTTTCACGTTTATGAAAATTTCTAATTTCAGGTCAAAGAAAAAAGTGAATTGGTGACAGTGAATGCGGGTGAAAATTTGAAGAAGCTGATGGAAAAGGAATTTGTAAGACCAACGAAACACTTGGTTCTTTTGCCTTATTTCGAAGAGTGAGTGGGTGCATAAATTATTAAAAATCATCACATAGACAAACCCTGATCAAAATGTGTTTTCTCAGACTAGAATCAGCTGCCGACAAAAACCTTCAATTCATTCTAAACGGGATGACAGCTGCTTTTCTGACTGAAAATTCGGTGGAAGCCACAGAATATACCGATATGTTTGTCAAGTAAGTTATAAGTGATTTCCAGAATAAAGAATCGATTTCAGACACCTCCGCCAATTCGGTCTTCGAATGCCGAAAGAAACGTTTCTGAAACTCATTCGATTTTTCTATGAAGCTCTACTCAGAAAGGATCAGAATCGGGATTTGATGATCACTGCGTGTTATGGATTTGGGAAAATGATGAAGTAGATTTCGACGCCTTCATGCTTTAAGTTTCTTAATTCTTTTTTTTCAGACTAACCAGATGCGGATCTTTTGGATATCGTGACTTGGTTCTTGACTGGAAACCAGTTTATGATTTGTATATTCGAGCATTGAACGGGAAGATCAAACCGGATATTTCTACACATTTGAATGAAGCAATCGTTCCATTCTCTCTTTTTTATCACCCAGAAAGCCATGGAGAGATTTTTGAAACTCTTCTTCAGGAAATCACAATTGGAAGTCATATTTATATGGAGCAGTTCATGCAAAATTGTAGAATTTTTCTGACTGTCGAAGGGATGAATGAAGAGGATGCAAAGAAGTATACAGTGGGAAAATGGATCAAAGAGATCTGGGATTTATATCTGAAAGCAGATATGAACACATCATGGACTTCCATCGCTGTTGAGTTTATGTCTGAGTTGGTTTCAGAAAATTTTGATAGTTTTCAAAACCAAAAACTTTCAGATTATGCTATTTCCATCCAGGGGCATACGACCTGAGTCCACACTATAACGTGCTCTTCACTAAAATGATGAGAAGTTTCGAATTAACGGTTCGTGGAGGAAAAGTGGCTGTTGGTGATGGACAGGAGGTTTTCTCAAACACACATTTAGCATCTATCTGTGTCTATACAATTGGTGGACCGAATTCGTTAGTTTATCTTTCTGCAGGAGTTATTAACTTTCATCTTAAAGGTCCCTGTCCTATTTCCAACGTCTTATGAAATACATTCTTTTCAATGTGCATCCATTGAATGCTGGAGAACACACTGAACAGATTGGATCCTTCTTGACAGACTTCATCAGTCAATTCAAAGGTCGATTGAAGGATGAGAGACTCAGATACAAGAAACGTCAGTGTTCCAAAGAATACTACCTCAATGACTCTGATGTTGACGCTGTCACGACGTCTATTATGGATGTCGTCGTTATGTTGATGTTCTCGTCAAGTTTTCAGGATGTGAGTTTTTGTTTTTTAGGCCGAGTTATCCAAATGTTGATTTTTCAGAACTACAAACTGGTACACAATTTAACAACTGTCAACCGTGAATTGGTTGCTCCGAAACTACTGGATCAGTGAGCAGATTTCAGTCAAAAGAAGATTCAATACTTTTTTTTCAGCCTCTACTCCTCACTTACTGCAGTCAGTGAACCCCATCGCCTATCAGTTATCATTGAAACTATCTCCGCGATTATTTTTGAAGTTATCCGTCAACCAGATTCCAACTACCGTACTCCACAAGACATCACTTTTGATTCAACGTGGCTGAAACTTCTGGAAGAAGAGAGAAAGAACTGGCCTTCTTACAAAACTGGAAGTGAGGTTCCAGAAATCAAATCTCACCAATTCAAAAGTCTTCGTGCCCACGCATTCTACATAATGGAGGTTTTCGTCAATCATATCAATGTGAGCGATGTCGATCGAACTGCATTCATCTTCAAGACTCTGATCGTTTTGTTCTCTTCGTTCCCACTTATGGATTTCTCTGCTTCCATCGAATTCCATGGCAAAGAAATGACTGAAGATGATAAAATTCTTTGTCTCCTTTCCAAAAGAATCCCTCATCTTGTGGAATTTACACTGAACAAGATTTTGGATGTTATCACTTGTTTATCAGTGGTTGCTCCTAAATGTTCCGGACAATCTGCTGGAGCATCAATCTCGAACGAATCACAAAAACAAGTTGGAGAAGAAGAAGCTGTATTGAAATCTGGAATTAGTCAACTAGTGAAAGTGCTTTTCGAAAGAGTCGACGAAAAATTGAGAAAAGTAAATTGAGAATTTTTAGTATCCAGCTTAAAAATATATACTATTTTTTTCAGACTCTCTTCGAGCGTCTTTTCAGCTATATCACAACTGTCGAGTTTTCAAATAACCTCGCTACTGAGCTTCTTTCATCTCTTGTTATGTCGGCTGTTTGGATCAGTCGAGATGCATTCCGTCATTATGGAGAATTCATTTCCAAAAAACTGAAAGAATTGATAACAGGTCGCTCAAAAAGTTATAATCATAAATTAACTGGATTCTAGTTCAGATGATATCCAAAAAACCCGAACTCCACCATCATCTGTTCTCTTTTATGTGGAACTTGCTCGTCCGTTGTTTGCGGCAACTCATCAGATGATTCTGGAGAATGAATCTCTTCTGTTTGGCATTCTGGAAATGTTTCTTAGTTGTCAGGACTCCACCATTCACAAGGTAAAAATTACTGTATGCTTTGTAAAGATTCTGATTTAATTTAAGTGTGCCACATTCGGAGTAACTACTTTCTTATCAGTTCTTCTGTACATTGAAACAGAAGCGACGGCATCTCCGGAGAACGACGTCTTCGCCAAACCGTTACAAGAATGGAATCCAATAAAATACTGGGCAAAGTGCAGCGAGTACAAGGACACAAATATCAGATGGTACATCCCAGCAAAACCGGAAATTGAATGTGCTGAGAGAATTTCCAATAAGTTTTTCTTTCCGTATATTGCGAAATTGAAGGAAATGGATCATGATAGGTGAGAGTTTTCTGGAATTTCCTGGGAATTTCGGATTATTATAGAGACACATTTCGTCGGATAATCAACCATTTGATGACGGTTATGCAGGATTTAAAAGTGCTTCAACATCCGGAATCTCTACGTCCGATTACTGACATCTACACTCCATTCTGTCTTCCGATTCCTTCTTCTTCACTTGGTGTTTCTTGTTCTCTTGAATACGAATTAAAAGGACCAAATGGAGAGAATATCCGAGAAGAGATAGTTTCGATGATCGAGAAGATTTCTAAAAAGATTCAAGACCCAGTATCGCTCACAAATCTATCGATTCTTGCATTCAAATGTCTTGGGAAAAAGAGAGCTTCCACAATGGATTCGTCTGTGGAGTCATTTTTGACGGATGCTCATGTTGTTATGGTTGATTCTACATACGGCAACGCAGTCAAATCATCTCAACATACAATGGATACGATAGCATTTGTGAAACATCAAAGTTCTTGTCGATCAATCAATCTCAAATATGGACCTTCTTGCTGGAGCAATGAGTTTGATTTTGGAATTGGGATGGCTGAAAGATGAGAATTCAACGATTCGTCTTGATGTCTGGGATGCTGTTCTTCGTATTAAAGTTTTTGACGAACTCAAAATTTGTGTTCTTTTCGAGGAAATTTGTAAAGAAATATTGGCATTAAACAAGCTTTCAGTCTATTGGAGAGGATCCAGAGAGACTCATGAAGGTATTATTATTATAAAGGGTTTTTATACACTGAAAGTTTCAAACTGTTCCAGAGCGGAACAAAAAAGTAGCAGCCATTGCTATCGGTTTGATGACAAATTCAGATTTCTGGAAGCAGTTTCTAGACGATGACTCTTTGAAAAAGCAAACTGACGTATGGTTCAATTATCAAATAACCAAGGAGACATCTAAAAAAGAACTGGTTGAGATGCTATTCAAAAAACACATCAAGAATCAAAACCATCATCATACTCGAGAGAATTTGGCGAGAACAATGGTTTATCAAACCCAAAAAGAGGGATGTGATGAGAGAACGATTGCTCTTTTGCTCTCTCAGTTGAACGATGAACAGTATTACTGTAGGAAAGAGGCAAGGGAATGGTTGACTCACTGGATGTATGAAACGAAACCAAAATCAGTGAGAATCGATTTACCAACACCCAAAAGAATCGATCATGGAGTTTCAATGGAGAGTGGAATTCGAGAAGATAATTTGTGGTTGGTTTATGATTCGGAAAATCTTCCGAATACCGAACAAAAATGGAATGAGATGATTTTTGTCGAAAGAGGAAAGGGTTCTTGTAGATGGGAAAAGTGAGCTATTGTTGTTTTGGAGACACTTAAAGCAAAAAATTCCAGAACCATCAGCGTAGTTCGAAAACGGAAAGATGGCCTTCCTCTGGAATTTAAACAGCTGACGTCTTCTGATTGTCTGGCAATCGATAGCTTTTCCAATTCTGATTTCGTCTCAAATCTCATCAAATCTCGACTGATTGAAAAAGAAGATCACACTCTACCGAATAGACACTTCTTTCGTCTCTTCAAATATATCATTCGCAACTATCCAGAGGAGATAAAACCATTGGATCTCATTCTTCTGAATTTTAAGGAGCTTTTGAAAAGCAAACAAGTGAGTTTCGATTTCTATAAAAAGTGATAAAATGATTTCAGAGAAGTGAGCAATTGCTTGCTGCTGAGCTCTTCATTGGTATTGTACATGGTTTGAAGCATCGATCATTCTCGCAATTGGTATCGTTCTGGAATGATATTAAAATTTCTCTGGACCAGTTTTTCAACATTATGGTCCTGGACGCCGAGCCATCATGGAGTTGTGCTCACGCTTTCATTTTGAATGGAGATCTCAGAAGACATTGGTGGTTTTTGGAGTCGTTGATAACTGGAGCAAAGAAGACAAATAGGTTAACAGAATTTCAACAGGCATTGTTAGTTTTTGACAATTTTTAAAAGTTTAAACTATTGGTTTTAGCCGTTTGTCATCATTGATTTTCAAAGGATGGTATCATGGAGAAATTATGAAAAGAGTCAGTGGAATCGCATGGAATAAACTACAGACAGCAGTTACCGACTCTTTGCGTTATGCAGTTGGGAGGTGAGAGTTCTTCAGTAAACTATTGGAAGTTACCATAATACATTTGAGTGTATTCCGTTCAACTGCTCAAATTTGCGAAAAGAATACAACAGCTACATTGATAAATATTCCTTCTCGATTCGTTCCTGATTCTCTGGACACCACGATTCAGAAAATTATCGAAAAAATCCCTCATTTAAAGTTGACAGAGGATCCAGAAACCGCAAGAAATTGTCAGTCAGATTCAGCACTTGGAAGCCCACGGAGCAGAAAACTTCAGCCACGGAGAAGAAGGAGAAGTATTTCGGAGGATTTGAGAGATCGAATGGTAAATAAAAAACTGTTCTAGTCAGCATGTCTTCTGTTTTCAGTCTTTGATCTACTTCCGAACACTTCTCGAAACTATTATCCAGTACTACGAAAGTTCAACACAAAGTTGGTCGCCGTTTCTTGTTCAAATCCTCCCTAAACTAATGGAATATGCGAATGAAGATGATTATGAAGTATCGGAAGAAACGTATCGCGATGTGGACATCACTCAGAATTCTGCAGTCATCATTCACGACTACATGTCTGCTTCGTGGCTCCGAAATGAGTTTGTGGATAGTATTGTGAATTCATGGGTACAGGTAAGGATCAAGGGTTCTGAAAAAGGGTAAAAGTCAAAGTTTCAGACATTTTTGACACATTCTGAATCTTCTCGTGTCCGTCTGGCTGTTATCAAATTTGTACAAGCGTCCGTCTACTCGAACATGTATCCAATGTGTCTAAAAGCTCGAAGAGAAAAAGTCGAGAATCTTCTGTTCAAGGCGGTGTTTGATCCAGAGGTATGGTACAATTAGAAACTGTTTTTAAATTGAATTCTCTTCAGATATCCGTTCGAAAAGAGGCAGCTAAATGTCTCCTTCTCTTCATCCACTGTGAATACATCCACGTTTCAGAAGAGAAGATCGAAGAACTTTCTCGAATCCTTCAATCAAAAACAGACTTGGAAGCAAATACACATGGTGCAGCTCTTGCTCTTGGAGCTCTAGTCTTGTCCTATCCATTTTCTCTTCCATCAAAAATTCTGAAACCTCTTCGTATTCTGAGCACAACGTGTTCTAAACGGACAATCATTCAGCAATCGATGACAGAAACACTTCGTGAATTCCGCCGTCAACATCGAGACGACTGGGTGAAATCCAAAGAAATATTGGGAGAATCTCTGGTTTTTGATATCGAAAATGCTACTGCCCCTGCCTATTATGCTTGAATGGAAAATAAATTTATTATTCACCCATCGATTTAATACAAGTTAAAAGTTCTCATAGCAGTACTGGGGATAATAAGATGATCACCACAAAGTCTGCTGCTATTCATCCACGTCCATCTATGCGTTGCATCTGGATCTCTGATTCGTTTCAAATTGAATCTCATGTCAACATGAGGAGCTCCCATTTCGGTAAAAGCCACATGTAATGTGAAATCGACTCCATCAAAATTTCGAGGGATTGGGTGAATGTCAAGCAATGTGTACTAAAAAAATTTTTCTCATTTGACCAAGAGTATAATTCTGTTGTTCTGGAGAAAAATTGGAGCTGTGGACGAGAAACACCTACCGTAACCTAGAAATATTTCCACAGCTCCGATATTTTATACCAGTATAATAATCCCCCCCCCCCCCAAAGTTTAACCAATTTTTTCATTACCTTGACAAGTGTTCCAGTTGGAAAATTAGCTCTCCAATCCCGTAATCCTTTGGTGAAATCAAATTTGCTTATTTTGTCTCTACAATTATCATAAACGAAGTTGGGATCAAAATCTAGGAATTCATTATTTTCGAAAGCGTTTCTGTTGAACACATCCAAAATCCCTTCAGCAACTCGCAACGATATATGGTCATTAATCGATGGAGTCTTATCCTGGAAATTTAATTTTTTTGAGGATCAAGTGCTGTGAGATAGACCGAGAAAGCAGTTGATACTAATAGAAACGTGATGAGAAAAACATTCATCACTCTTCAACAGAAGCTTCGTGAGAAACTGAAAGTTCGAGGAATACCTTCGGACTCTGAACACATAAGTATGTTATTGATACGTGTCAAAGAGTTTCTAACACAAAAAAAACGATTTTGATGAGTTTGAAATGTGTCATGTTCTCACGTGAAACCTCAATTCCACCCATCCATGCCACGAGGATCCCTCCACTCCTACTCGATCATCAGTCTTTTCAGTTGTTCATCTGATTCCCTTCAGAAGAAAACCCCTCCATCAGAATGAAGTTCCTCTTCTGGATTCTTGTGCTCCTCGCGTGCTCCACCGTTCACTGCAAACGTCGTGTTTCAAGAGATGAAGAAGCTGTCAGTGATCCAGAAAAGGATGCAGCTGACTTGGAACTGGCAAAGACTACTGCAACTGCATTTGCTGCGGATTTGATGAAAGTGAGAACCAGTGAAGACATCCATGATCTCACCAATTGGCTTTCCGATAATCTCATCTTCCAATTGTGCGACAATCGTTTGTACAAAAGTGAGTTTATTTTTCAGCATTTTCCAGAATACCATTAATTCTTTCCAGGTCACTTCGTCGCTTTCACCACTCACGCTCTCATCGAAGAAGAGAAATTCCCAGTGGCTCTGACTTTGGAAGTCGATAAGGCATTCACTCGTGGAGATGGTCTTTCTATGATTGTCAAAGCAAATGGATTCGTTTTCGAGGAGAACGATCAGCTCATTTTGGATTTTCAGAAGGACGAAGATGGCAAATATAAATTGGCTCATGGAACTATTCTCACATGTAGATACGAATAGAGATTTTACATCTCTCTAGAGTTTCTTGATTTAAGTAATTTGCCGACCCAATAAAGCTTTCTGAATAATAACTTTAATCTTTGATATAAAAATAAATCCAGTTGAAGTGCTCACAGGGTTACAAAGGCCCTGGTCCGAAATAGCTGCCCAGATAACTTTTAGGACAGACGAAATTAAATAATTTGAATATGGACGTGGATTTGACCCATATTTTTAATCAACGAGGGTTTTTTCACTCATAATTGTACGATTAACACTCAGCTCACGTGCGGTGGGGCGCGCTTTCCTACCAAGCCTTTTGGAGCCTTGTGCGTGCTCAATAAAAACAATTTTTAAAAAATTTTGCAAAAGAATTTAGAAAAATTTTTATTTCTTAAATTTCTATTACTCGCCCGTCTACTAGAAAAAAACAAAATGCCTTCGAAAACAAAACTCACAACGAAAATTTTAATGACGACTACAGAATCCGAAGATGACGAAGGACTCACACCAAGTTACGTTTACATTCTAATTGAATTTGCCTATATTTTAATGTTTGGAATTGTTGCTTATCTCATGAGACGATACAATTTTATGAAGGTTGGTTTCGAAGGATTACCGTAGATTTTTAGCATTCCAAAGTTTCAGACTGAAGACGACGCAGTCACAAAACATCACCGACGTCATTATGAGATGATGAAGAAGCAACAGGATGAATTGATTGAGAAACAGAGGACAAATGAGAACTTTTTGATTGCTGGAGATAATCAATAAATATTTTGAATTTTGACACATTTATTAATAAAATTTATTAGCAACTGAGAACTTGAAAACTAGAATTTTATCACCCGACAAGTGTTGGATTTGCTTTGTTTTGAACCAATTGATCGACAATCTTATCCCGATCAATGCCATGCACATTCAGATTAGGAATGATATGAGCCATATTGAGATCGATATCATTAATTCGTTCAAAGAAGTGAGCTTTAAATGGAAATCGTTGATTTGTTGTAGGAATCGGGAAGTTCATTCGAGTATGGTAGATATCTGTGAGCTCTTCGTCGTGTTTTTCGAGTGTTTCTTCTTGAAAATCGAACATCTGAAATTGAAAAATTTAGACTTAAAGAAATACAATATGTGTATACCTCATTGATTCCTGGAAGTGGAATATCTAAAGCAACAGCATGACTCGTGAATTTAGATGAATCAATTTCAGCGCCTACGATAAAAGAGTTCTAAAAAAGAGCTACTTAATTTGGTTTCAATAGCAATGTGCTCACCTGAAACGGCTGATGCTGACCATCTGTGAACAAATGTGGCATATTCGCATACTGTCGATAGTTCTTCCTCAGATTCAAGTCTGAAATCGTATCGTATCAAAATGATCATCTTCACATGCTTACCGAGAAAATTGACACCCTGAAGAGCGTATCCAGCTCCCCAAGAATCACCGAAATCATTATTGGTTCCTACTGCAACCATATGGGTAAATGGATTCAACTGAGCATGTCCGGAGAAATGTTTCTCTTGTCCCGGAAGTGAAACATCGGGAACTGGTTGAGTTTTATGGTAGAGTTTGTTTCCAGCAATGTACAGATTCGGAAGATAAGGACCAGAACGATGATCGGATACACCTGGAAATAAGGAAAAATGGCATTTTTCGGAATATCGAATATTCCGAGATACAAAATTTACGAATTTCTGAATATTCTGATTTTGAAAGTTTTGGTATTTTATAATTTCAAAAGTTTCGGAACTTCGGAATTTCGGAATCCTCCTTTCTCATCACACAACGCGAAAACGTGGTGAAAAAGTAAAAAGCTTCGGAAATATTACGGATTCTGGAATTTCAGTTAAGACCAAAGTATCCTATTTGAGGAATCCTTCAAGTTTGTGATAATTGAAATGTTTTGCACATAATTGTCTCAAACTTTATGATGAAAATTCAAATATTTCTTTCTGAGATTTAGAATTTCAAAAATCCCTCAACCTTATAAGAGGTTGTTGAATTTTCATAGTTTTAGTTTTCCCAATACATATTCAGAGACTAAGTTTGACCTTTCTATATTTCGTCATGTCTACATGACGATTACGAAAAACAATAAAATATTCTAGAAAGACCATCAAAAGTCCATAATGTGAAAAAAAAAACAAGAGTGTTTACTGACTCACCGAATGGAAGTCGTATCAATCCGATTCCTCGAGGGCGTAGTCCTTCGATACGTGGCAATATAAAAACGACAAAAAGGACAATGACTAGAAAAGAAGAAGTCGTCAGTTTCGACGCCATTACACATTATACCAAAGTAGATATCAGGAATACTTTGATCATTGGAAGAGGGAGATTCGAAGAAAAAAAGGTAAAAAAAGAGAGAAATATAGATTTGGAGGGTAGAGATAAAAACAGAAAGATATCATTTTTCTGGAGACAAGAAGAAGAAGCCATAACGAGAATTCAATCATTTCGTGTTTAGCGAGAATTTCCACAATCAGATGGGTTGTCTGCCATCTTCAGGTTTCAATGGTTTCGGAAAAAAAACAAGGGGAAAGTTTCTGTATGTAGATCGGAACTGAAATTTTTAAACTAGGAGTTCTGTATTTCTCAAAACACTGATTTTTCTATTGAACAAAAACTTAAACTTGAATATTGTTCTGCAACATTTTTCCGGTATTTGATAAAACTCGCAAGTGGGAGCTGGAAGCTGTAGATCCATTTGGAAGCATCACCGATGACGTTTTTTGCCTGTGACTATGATCTAGATCTCGTTGAAAATATTTTTCATCAGAAAAAAGTTGGTGATATTATGATAGACGATCCCTGAAAACGTCGTCTAGCATTGCTTTTCAAATTTTTTAAAAGTACAGTATTCCCATTCTCTTCATCACTTTAAAATGTCTATGCATATTTTTTTAAAAAATTACTGAAATTCGTCATTCGGTGATCACAGTTCACTTACTCTCCGCTACTCATTTCTTCTTCTTATTATCATTCGGGATTTTGCCTGCATCCTAAAAAAATGATTACGAAACGAACATCATATTGTGATCGAGTGACTTCACATGAATTTCTCTACGGACCAAACCGGTCTCTTATCCCTCTTAATTTCCCCCATTATGTTGTTCCATTTTGCGCTACAATGAACATTTTCGTGGATGATCGGCGGGAAATTGGCGATCTGTCTCTAGCTGATAACAACAATAGGTCAATTAAGTGAAATTTAGAAAAAGGAAAAGAAGAAGAGGATAGTGGTGATTAGCCGATTAGTGGTTTTTGGAATGAAAAGTTGGAAACGAGAATCGGAAGATCATTTGGGTAGAAGATGCAACTCAGGAGTCGGTCACTTCTGACTGGAGGTTGGGTAGATTCTTACAGTACCGAAAAAAACATTCAATACTTGTGATTTTGTAGCTTTGAAGCGATCCCTCAAACAATATTTTCGAGACGTACATTTTAGGCTCAAGACGTTTTTTTTCTAATTTTTCAAAACTTGCTGTAAAATTCAGGTCGAGCGATTAGAGGTACGAACTTGAATACTCATGAATTTTTGTTAAAATCTAGCAAAGTTGGAAGAAAGTAAAGAGGAAACGGATAACATGTAATCCTTGGAGGTTCTCCATTTTTTGCCGTTGAAAGTTGAGAAGGAACGGCGGCTTGTTGCTAGTGAAATCTGTGACAGGATTGTGAATTTTGAAGAAAAGTCATCACAAAATCTCAAATGATTTCAGAACTTTTTGATCATTTTATTTACTTTTTGTACTCTCAACAAATACATTCAAAATCAACGACTAGATACTTCAATACAACTTCCAGAAGAAAAGTTTTTACATTTTTTTCCCCAGACTCTCTTCTTCTTTTTCCATCTCATCGTGTTCTTTAAAGTCTTGAGTTGCTTGAGTTGCATTTTTGTTATTTTGATGTCTGCTCGTCTAGTCTAGTTCCATTATTTTCTTGTTCTCGAATCACCCCCTGCTGTCCAAACATTTCGATGTTATTAAGTAAAAATTTGCAAATTTTTTTCGAATTACAATTTCACACTTTTCTGGCAAACCGACGTTTTTCCATGAAGAAAGTTTCCATTCAAAAAAGTTGATAAGGAGATTTTTTCGCAAATTTCGTTTTTTTGTGTTGACTTCCTTTGTCGTCGAGTTGTTTTGATGAAACAGCAACAAACGAAAAATGGGGTCAAATCGGAAAACAGTTGAATATTTGTTCAGAGTGTGGGTGGTTGGCATTTTATGTTTTGATGTTTTCAGACTGGGACCGAGAGAGCAAAGATGATCCCTCACAATCAGTTGGGGTTACTGTAGTTGTGTGATCTGAAACTTTTGACTACGAAATTATTGAGAGTTTTCTGAAAGTTTTCTAAAACGGTTACGAAACATTTGTTTCATTGAAAAAAATTGCAGTCCAGAGAGTAAGGAAAGGTAAATAGGGGAATATGAAAATTTCGCTGATACACAATATTCTAGATCATAGACGATTCTTTATCAAAAAGAAGTTGTTTTGAGTAAAAATCGTAACACCTGTAATAGAAGAACTGGCTATTTTTGATATCTTTCAAAAGCAATGAGATATATGAGCTCGAAGTAGGTCCACAATAGTTATATTAGATCCACAATAGTTATATTGAACGGCGGAACCCGTGAGATGTCGGCTGCTCTCCCAGACACCCCTATATAAGTGAACCACCCATCTCCAATATTTCTTATGTTCTTCCGAGAATATGTTCTTCCGAGAACATATACTAAAATTGGAACAATACAGAGAAGATTAGCATGGCCCCTGCGCAAGGATGACACGCAAATTCGTGAAGCGTTCCAAATTTTTTGACCTGTTTTATTTTTGACCCTATTTCTAGGTGCTGAATTGAATCAGCTCAAGGTTCATCGAAGAAAGTGTATTCTATTATATATTGTGGTAGTGTATCCTGGTGGTTTTATGGTTCCAGAAACTCTTTGATTTTCAGAATGCATTCGAAACAGTATCCTAAAATTTGTACTCTGATTCGATTTTTACTCCCCAAACAAGTCCTTCAAATTCAACGACATGTTGCTCTTTGTCTTCTGAAAACTGAAAAATTTATTGCGTACGAACGTACAGTTCATGTGGGTAGTGCATCTGAATCAACATGACTATGAGTACAAAAAAAAACTCATTTTCAGGAAAAAACCATCAAAACAAAGACTATTTGAGAACAGCTGAAAATGAAAAGGGGCGCGTTATTTGAATAACAAGAACAACCTGAAAAAAACTGATCGAACATTGAAGAAAGAGTGAGGGAATGGGAGGGAAATTGGTGCGGGGCCCAATGGGGTGTTTTATGTTTTCGTCCGCGTCGTTCAGTTTACTTGTCCTTTTTGTTTTCCACTTTTTTCAGTCAGTGCAAGACCATCATCCCTGCGTCTCAAAAAAAGGGTCTAATTCATCGGTTCCCTCTTTTTTTCCTCTCGTTGGTTTTGTGTTTTTCTTGATTCATAGGGAACAGACTGGAATGCTCCAAAGACTAGTTGAAGAGAAAGCAGCGAGGGTCCCTTATTTTATAGTTTTGTACTTCTAGTTCAGAAGAGACAGCTTCTGGGATTTCCCCTCACTTCTATTTCTGGGCGTTACTTGTTTATATCACTTATTGCATGTTCCAAGTTCTAGCTCTTTGTTTTTTTTCTATTTTCCGGTTTTACAGATGCATTATTATTTGTGTTTTTTCCGAACTTAAGTAATTGCCCAAACATGAGCTCCCGCTATATTCATGATTATGCAATATTTAGAAGTTTTCTAGTCAGGAATTTGAAAACCTGGAAAATTTAAGAAATTTTATTTTCGAAACTTTAAGAAATTCTAATCTTTTAAAAGTTGAAAATTTCTGATTTTTAAGACATTCAAATTTTGAGAAATTCTAACTTTTGAAAAAATTAAGAAAATCTGATTTTCAAGGAATTATATTTTTTAGATTTATAAAATTCTTATTCTCAAGAGAATCTTATTTTCGAAAATTCTAAATATTGTGGTTTTTCAGAAAATATGATTTTTGAGAATTCCTAATTTTTTAAAATTTATGAAATTCTGATTTTTAACAAATTCCAATTTTTGAAAAATTTAAAAAAATCCGGTGTTTCTAATTGTTGAAGATTTTACTCAATTGGGAGGAGCTTATAATTCTGAACGGGTTGCTCCGAGAACATAAACCGTTCTCGCCTGAAAACCCAAAACGAAAAAGTATCATTCTTGCTTTCCAGAAATAAAGTCATATGCTAGAAATATTATTTCAAAACATTCCTCAGCACTCTTTGACACACTTTTTTGTTTGACATAGAGGAGACTAGATCACCGGGTATTTTCGAATCGAAGACGCTGTTTATGAATTTTTTCGATGCGTTCAATTTTTTCCTATCTTTTTTGTATGTTTTTCGACTCTTCATTTGAACGAATTTTGGTTTGAGTCGCAAAAATCTGTGCAAGAAGTATGTTTTTTTGAGCCTAACTGAAATTTGACCTGACTGTTTACTAGATACAGGATCGTGTCTCTCGCCTCTTTGTCAAAGATCTTGTTTCATTTTTGCTTGTTGCAATTCTTGGAATTATAGTTTATTTCGCTTTTTCATCATTGTTACTTTCAATATTTTTAAACCTTATACAAAGGATTGATTTCAATTGTTATATAATTGACATCGTAAATTGCGAAGTGTCAAATCTCTTATACCACTTTTTAAAGTACCGGCAGAAAGTTTATTAATTTTACGAATATTTTTCTCTACTGTAAACCTTTGCATACTTGAATACTTTTCTCTACAGTAACCCTTCTCATTTTCGAATATTTTTTTCCAGAAACACAACAAGTTTCGAGTCGGGAAACTTTTAAGTGGTTTATCTCATTATGATTAATTTATACAAAAAAGTTATCAACCATAACTTAAAGCACTATTTTTGTTTAGTAGATCAGAAATTTTTCAGTTTCACTCAACATTATCAATTCTATTTTTAAGTGTCCGAATTTGGCTTTTTGAATAGGCTAAATTTATTAATTTTTGGTGTATACTGTCCATCCGAAACTCCATCTACTGACTGTGTCTCTCATTCCCAGGAGAACATAGCCCAACAATCACCCTTCCCGAGGTCCACAGCAGTTATAGTGGACGGCGGAACCCGTGAGATGTCGGCTGCTCTCCCAGACACCCCTATATAAGTGAACCACCCATCTCCATTATTTGCTCACAACTTACCGTACTACTTTAGAACTCTTGTAAAATTTCCGTTCGCTGAAGACCATCTCCAGCATTTTTCGATATATCTTT